TTGTTGCAATGGTAACTCGTTCAATGAGAAATTTGTATCTATTTTCTGAATACCTTGTACCTTGGTCTAGTTTGGACAGATTTATGAATATGTATGATTACTTTTAAATTTGAAGTAATATTTGGGCCAAATAAGGGCCTTATTGCCCCTACTCCTTTCATTATATTGACAACGATTTGTGACCAAAACAAAAAGACATAATTTCTGTGTCGTTTGGTCTCTTGTGGAGAGTTGTCTCATTGGCAATCATACCACATCTTTTAAACAAATATTCAAGATCTAATTACAGTGTTTAATTGGTAACTTGTTAGAATAAGTTTATTCTAATGATGGATCATTTACCCCAGATCGTTTCCAAATTTCCGTGCTCGGTTAACAACATCTCTGTAAGAATAAGGATGCGCTATCCCGTTTGAAATAAGTTTTTTACAGGTACTGCCATACCTTAAACCAAATCTGTTTATCTATGCAGGAATATGGTAAAGGTTTCTTAGTAACTTGTGGTAACAAAATCCATGACGTAGTCATTTACATAAACTGCTTGATAAAAGAATAAGGTATTGACAATTCATTTGGAAACTTAACATATACCCTCACGACACTTACCAAAGAGGAAATCCGGGATAATCATAGGTCTGCTCTATGTTCCTTTGGAATTTCAACCAAAGATGAAGAACTGGATCTTCCATCACTGTATTGGATACCTAAACTACATAAGTGTCCTTACAAACAACGGTATATTGCTGGGTTTTCCAAGTGCTCCACGAAACCTCTTTCTAAATTATTAACATCTATTTTATCAGCAATCAAAACCAGGCTCCAAAGTTATTGTGAAACTGCCTATTCTAGAGGTGGCGTGAATCAGATGTGGATACTAAAAAAATTCCAAATATCTTTTAGAGTACATACAATCTAAGACTCTCTCATCTTGCAATAGTATTAAAACATTTGATTTTTCTACACTTTACACAAGTATTCCCCATTCCAAACTAAAAGACAAATTGAAAGAGTTGGTATTACTTTGTTTCATTAAAAAGAATGGCAAACGTAGATACAAGTATCTTGTCTTGGAGAAGGATAAATCCTACTATGTAAAGAATCACTCTGATTCAAACAAAAAATTCTCTGAAACTGACATTATCAAGATGCTTGATTTCTTGATTGACAACATATTTGTTACGTTTGGAGGACGTCTTTTTCAACAGAATGTCGGAATTCCAATGGGAACCAATTGTGCCCCTCTTCTTGCCGACTTGTTTCTTTATTATTATGAGACTGACTTCCAAATGGTTGAAATCATCCCTTCGTAAATTTTACGGACGCCATCACGAGTTGGTTGACCGTTATGGAATAACCGTTTCACAGATGATATCAGATATGTTCCTTATGTCGTAACTACAATACCCTTCCCTTTTCACGAATGTGACCTACCGAATTAGACTGTTTACCGGATTTGTATTAAGCAACACGACGGGTGCCACATATGGAGCAGGATCTGCTTACCCTTCCGGAGCACCTGAGATCACTCCCAGTTTTTGGTGGGGTTCGTGTTGCTTAGTCTTTAGTTTTCTATGTTGTGTCATCTGTGCTATTATTTGTCTTTTTCTTTTTGGCCATGGCGTTGTCAGTTTGTTTTCGATCTATGAGTTTGACTGTCCCTCTGGTATCTTTCGTCCCTCTTTTACCAGAAATGCATAGGTTACATTCATTAAAATCCATAACGTTACAACAGACACGGGCATAGCGAACGAGTTGTGATATATAAACACCTTAAGATGTTGACAAAGAAACATTACCGTCCAAAAAAGTTAATAAACAATAGGGAGCGAAAAAACTTTCCTTTTGTAGTAAATTTTACTGTATAGTTTCCCATGTAAAAATAAATATATCAAGGAAAAGACAGTTATTACCGTTTACACTTGATTTAATTTAAGTAAGTTCTTTTAGGGTAAATTTCTGCAGTATATTTAGAAATTCTTGATTACTAAGTACTGAACGAAAAAATATCAACATAACGGTAACTGTTTTGAATTTATCAATTTATTGCAATTTAGACGGGTATCAAATGAGTTTGGTCATAAACTGTGATTCATAACAATACAGGGGTAAGTCTCATATTAAAGGGGCGCAATTGGTAGCCATAAGAATGTCTACAACCTGTTGATAAACTTTATTGCTGAAATGTACTTAAATATTATCAAGGAGAAAATTAAAAGCTTCAATCAATCAATCACACATCCAGTAAGAGTATCTAGCATATTTACCATTCCTATTAGAGAGGACGGTTTTAAATCAGTTGCAGCAAATATAATTGTCATATTGTCCTAATGAGTAACATTATAATCCCGCCTCTGTCAAATGATAAAATTCTTTTTAATAGTAATTACATATATTCAGTGTGATCTTTGTCAACCACGCTTACTGTGATATGTATAAATTGACGAAACCAAATTTCCGCCAACTCTTTTTTGACATTCCTAAATGTGATTCATATCGGTCTTTCAAACTGAATTTTGCAGTCAATTTTACTGTATTGTTGTTTGACCACTTAACCGTATAAAAGTAGAAGATTAATGTTCAGAAACACGTTAAACCTGCCCACATCTTGTTTGTGTCTGTCCCAAATTAGGAGTCTACATTTCCGTGGTTTTCGTATATATGTTCAGAAAAGTAAAGGCATACTTTACTCAATTTTTAATTTATCGAGAAAGTGTATATACTATATGTGGTATTTGTGATTTGTGGTTTGTACTATAAACGCTTAAAACTTTTTATTGTTCACGTCATTGTCAAATTTAAAAATTTACTGTCTTTGTTGAATTAGTTTATATGTTTGTTTGAATATTGCAGTGTGTATGTAATGTATGTTTACACAGTATTTGCTATTGGATCCCAGTTGTTATCACATTAACCTATCATGTCTGTTTGGTTCCTCGATGCTCTTCAACTTTGTACTTTATTTTGCCTTTTTAACTCTTTTGAACGAGCGACACTGAAGAATTATTTAACTTTGAATCCTGACATCTATTATGAATTTATTTGCTCACCCAATTTTGTCATTATAACAGAACTATAAACAACTGGCATACAAGTGGGAGGTTTGGTTAGCTTTAACACCAGGTTAAATCCAACATTTTCTTTTGCAAAAAACCTGTACCAAGTCAGGAATATGGCAGCTGGTTTATTTACTTGTTCTGTTGATTAATATTTATTAGTTTTAATGAACTCCCCGTTTTTCAATTAGCTTTTGGGTTCGGTATTTTTTGTTAAACATTTTTATTCAACACAATTGAGGAATAAAATATTTATGATATACATGAACAACGACAGTCTGAGTTATTTTATATAGACATTCCTAATTGTCTTCGGACTTACTTTCTTTTCATTTGATTGGACCTGTCTTTTTTGTTGGTATTTTATCTTTTTTTTGTTTTTTTTTTTTTTTTAAGTTAGGGAAGAGTAACAGCATGACTAGTGGCAAGATTCGTACGAAATATGATGATTGTTTGCGGTATGTCATGCGCATGAGGAAATACTCCCTATCTTATATGAAAATAATTCAAGTTAAATGTGTTTATGTTTGATGAAAACTGTCCAAAATTTTAATGCAATAATATTTATATTTGTATCACTGTTTGCAAGATATTTCCTTCAAAAACAACAAAAGAGTGCACACGCTGAAATGTCTCGCCTTCTTTCTTAACCATTAATTGTATGTTGATAGTCCTAATTATAAAACTTTACTACTAGTATCACATGAAATTAACATGATCCAAGAAAATGAGGCCAAGGTCAGATAAACCAAATAAGAAATAACAATCATTCAATACTCCAAATATAGTTGACCTCTGGTTTATAGTTTCTAAGAAATAGACAACCCAGAAAACTAAACATTGACCAATGAACCATGAAAAATTAGTTCAAGGTCAGATGAATCATGCCAGACAGACATATACACCTTATAATCAATATATGCATTAAATAAAGTTGACCTATTGTTTATAGTATCTAAGAAACAAACTTAACCAGGAAACTAAACATTGACCAGTGAACCATGAAAATGAGGTCAAGGTCAGATGAAGCCTTCCAGACAGACATATATACCTTACAATCATTTCATACAAGAAATATAGTTGACCTATTGCTTATTGTTTAATCAAAACAGACGAAATCACAAAAACTTAACACTGAGCGATGAACCGTGAAAATGAGGTCAAGGTAAAAAAAAAACATCCAAGACTGACGTGTTCATCATAAAATATTTACATACACCAAATATAGTTGGTCTATTGCATATAGTATGACAAAAAAGATCAAAACACAAAAACTTAACTTTGACCACTGAACCATGTAAATGAGGTCAACGTCAGTTGGACATGTACATCTTACAATCATTCCATACACCAAATAAAGAAGACATTTTGCTTATAATATCTGATATATGGACTTGACCACCAAAACGTAACCTTGTTCACTGATCAATAGAATGAGGTCGAGGTCAAATGAAAACTCTCTGGTGGGCACGAGGACCTTGTAAGGTACTCAAATAATAAATATAGTTAACCTATTGCTCATAATAAAAAAAAAAAAAAAATTAACATTCCAAAAAATATTAACTTTTTTTTCAAGTGGTCACTGAACCATGAAAATGAGGTCAGGGACAATAGACATAGGACAGACTGAAACTTCGTAACATACGGCGTCTATTTACAAAATATGAAGCATCCAGGTGTTCCATCTTTAAAAATACAAAACTTTCAAGAAGTGATCTAACGCCGCAGGCTCGACTAAAAATAGCATTTTATAGATATGTAAATGTAAAAATTGTACGATAGACCTGTTACTGTAATCTGTAGCCCAAAACATATTTTGAGCTGTCAAGAATTACTAGACTCTTCTGAAGCGTTAGCCACATGTCATTGCTTCAGTTGTGTTTTCCATTCTGTTTTGTTATACTGTGATTTTAAAATAATTTGTAGTCATCTTTTTTTGTAATTACAGGATTTGAATGTTGATGGCTATAAACAACATTTACAAAGCGATGGTTTTGTATGGATATTTTATTGTATCTCAGTCTTCATGTAGGTACAACTATTAAGCTTTTATTGTATGTCATCCAATAGTTCTAACAAAACGTGTCAGTATCTCATTTTTCGCAAAACTCATTGGCCTGCACACAACAACCATTGATCAAACAGTTATTCCTGAGTTTATGTAATTGTCTAAGATTAAAATCACCGTATGTGAAAAGTAGTGTTTTGAAATAAGTTCATCTAATTCTAGCTTAGTGAATCCACGCATGCATCATCTTAGGTGGGCGTATACTTTATCCAAAACTGATAGATACAAAACAAATCCAAGTGAAAACCCCAGCAACAAAGAGGTTTAAATGCTTCACGAACTGAACATATTAAAACAATACATTTCATGAGATGATAAACGAAATCAGATTGAAATTAATTTGATTTGAGAAACTACTGGAATTCAAAATCGGATAGCCAGTGTATATTTTTTCTTCTATGAGGAGAAAAAGAACAACTAAAAATATTTCTTACCAAACAAAAAAGTTTTAAAAAATGAAAAAAAGAAGAAAGTTTAAAATCTTCTAACATAATGAATATATATAACATTGTTTTAAAAAGAAAGCTCATGTCAAATAATTGACAATTCTCATTCTTCGCATAATTTTTTAAGGGGGATATATTTTTTTACAATTGTTTCAATAAATATAGTTAATTGTGTTAATTTTTTTAAATTGCTGTAATCGAACAACTTGATTTCACTTGAACAATTAAACATTAGTTAACAAATGTTTTAGAATCGTAAAATCGAAAGTTCTAAGCAGCTTTTTTATTTCGAAAGTAAGTTCAATTGCATACAGATACGTTAACTTCCTTTTGATTGTGAGCTATATATTAGATTAGATTTGGATGATTTGCGGTCTTTTAAAATTAAAATCCGTGTTGATGCATTTATACATAACACTGCAAATTAGGTACATGGTCGTTAAGAATAGGTTGTTGATTCCTTGTCCCTTTTTATATTCGTTATATTTATTAATAAAACCAGCTAGCTAAAAAAATATCTTAGAATATTAACCTTAAAATGGATCACCATTTGACCGATTTTCAGTACAATAATTCCTTCAAATTATTTTTTCAAATCTTTCTTTTTCATATGCAATTTTTGTCCAAATGATTATATAAGTAATGATCGAAGACGATTGGAAGGCAATAGAAGTAGTTCTTAAATATATTTAAAAAATTATTATCTATAGTATTGATAAACGCCAGGTGAACGTCTTTAGGCGATAAGAGTTATTCGTTACTAAATCTACCAGGAGCTACCAGGATGTTCTAAAAAGCCTGTGTCCCTCACCTTGGTCTATGTGTATTTTCATAACGTGACACTCTCCGACATTGCAGACTGGAACATAATTCATGAAAAAAAATCTTCTTTTTGTTCGAACATTTTTTTACAGCTTCTTTCTATATTGATGTTTGCCCACAACACACAAAATCTAAAAACTAAAGTCGAATAAGGGTCATTACTTTAAAAAAAAAGTCGCAAAAACGACTCCATCGAAATTTGACTTATTTGCAGATCTGATCTTGATGATCATGTTTACTTTCATCTTTTATAGGTTTGATAAAAAATATTAAACAAAAAATCACAAAATTGATAAAACTCGTCATTTCAGGGCAATAGCTACAATACGAGTCAACTGAAAATTTCAGCGAATGAAATTAATTGTAGACCTGCTGACGGAGTCATCGTACATATTTTAAAACTAGATACCCCAATGATAATTTAGCTAAATTTGGTTAAATTTGCATCAGTAGTTTCGGAGGACGACGGACGACACTTGATTGGAAAGGCTCACGCTGGCCCTATTTGTCAGTTGAGCACAAAAAGAAAGCAATAAAACAGTTAATTGCAAATTGATCCCATTTTTTATTATTTTAAATTTTAAGAGTTTTCTGTAACATTTTGTGCTTACAGAAGTGAATGAGACCGTTTTCAAAACTGGATAAGAAAATATATGTACTTTGGTTATAAGTCTACTAGCAACTAGCCATCTATTATTTTTTTTATTAGGGGGCTTATATATGATTGTATCCTGCAATCTTGTTTATACAATACACGATGTTATCAATATTTCATTTGATTCCATATCATTTATCAGAATTACTATTCATATAAATGTATCATTTAACTATAGATTGAAAGCAATTGCATGGCCTTTAGTCGTTAATGCTAATATTATATCTGTAAAAAATGAAAGTTTAGAATCACATGTCCTTCATGGTTTTTAGACTATTGAATGTTTGTCAAATGTATATATCATTTACTAAATTAAGGTAGCAATTGATTTTCAAATTTTTATACTCAACACATTTTTATCCTGATGTATTTTTAAACCCAACGAAAATTTAGATTAAATGTCATGCAATTAAAAAATACCTTAAAAGAAGTGTCACTTCGCTAACAACCTTTAGTACAAACAGGCCTATATGGGTCGGGTTAGAATTTATTAACTTCAGACAAATGTCGGGGACTGAGTAACATTATCATACTGTCCATTTGGGCCAAGACAGCTTCAAGTAGAAGATACAATATAAATATTTTCTACTTTTAATTGATTGAAATACTCAGTTATTATAATATAGGAAACGTTTAATTTTTTTATCTATATTTTTAAAATTGCTAGGATGTGACCTGCGATATTGTATACAGGCATTGTGTGAAATTTGATTAAAGGGGCACTAGCTACGAGATATATAAAAAATCTAAAGTATGATTTTTTTTTTGTTCAATCCTTAATGAAAGTAAAATAATAATTTACTTTTAGCAGCCAGTATGATTTAATTTTGTCAAATTAAGCTTTAAAACATTGATGAAGTGAATAATTCGACCTCATTGAATCCGTATTCATGTGAACTTCAATTTAACCCCTTAGCTAGAGATGGATAACGCATGCACTGTGCGTGGTCGGTTATTTAAAGGAAAAGAATGTCACGTGAAAGTGAAACAAGGGTAAATCATTTGATTGACTGAATTCATCCACAAAAAATCATTCTTGTACAGGTAAAAACGATGATTACCCTATATTATTAATCTATAATATTAAAATTAAATAGACCTAGAAAAATACAAATGCACGACTTTCTTTTCTATTTATATCTATATTTATGTTTATATCGCTTATATGACCATCGGCAGTATTCGGAGGTCAACTTGATGGTTCATTAGATGGCGTCTAGACTAAAATACACACGAAACACGAGACATATTATAGAGCACATGCCTTGTAAATTGTTTATTTTAGACTTGTTATAATTTGGATAAATGTTTTACATGGTTATAAATCAAATGAGAACTTGAGTCAAATCGGTGAACATGAATTTTACAGCTAGTGTCTCTTTAAGGATTACGATAATTTACAGATGCAGTTCCTTCTTTCTTGTTTTTTCATCTTCTTAAAAATATAAAAACTAATTTGGTTAAATAAGTGCATGAGTTCTTTTGTGAACTATTTTGAAACTGAATATACCTTTGGCGGAGGTTGTAAACTATTATATAGATTTTTTCTTCCAGAAAAAAAACCATTTTTTAAAGTTTGAAACCATCATGATTCACTTCATAAAAATAAGTTAAATGTCTGAAAATAGTATACGATATGATATGGTATGAATATGACCTATTTCAGTTGGTCTCTATTGAAGAGTTGTTTCATTGGCAATCTTACAATATCTTCTTATGTTTTATATATAGCTAGATCAATTTAAAAGAAACGTGCCAAAACCGAATATTGGTTGACGTGTTTTTCATATATTTCCTTTCCTTTAAATCCGCTTTAGAAAGAACAAGAGAGAGATTCAATACGGTGTTTATGTTTCAAAATACGTTTCGCATTTAAATAATAGTATGGTTATTTTGAAAATAGAAAATCCTTTTGCAAGAAATGTAATATGTTACTAGTAATCAAGTGTTTTAATTTTTATTTTCCATTGTCATAGTTTTCGAAGCTTATTAACTTCTGCCTCGTGTTTTTCTGTTGACTTATTATGAATATATGTTCATGCATTTTTTTACAGTTAGATGGGATATCAAAACAGCAACTGTTATGTATGGACAAAGTGCAACGCTTTCTTGTAATGGTAATGGCTGTACGCCATTAAGCATAAGAAAATGGATAGGAGGACCAACAAATGGTGTATTATGCTTCAATGATTATTGTTCAAATCAAGCAAAATATCAACTAATGTACAATAAATCAAAACCTTCCTTTGACCTAATGATAAAACGCTTCAATTTCACCGATGCAAACTGTACTTATACATGCGCATGTGGATTTAATCAATACACGCATATGCTGCAAATGGATGAAATCGACTTTATATGTAAGTTATAAAAGACGAAAATCCTTTAGTCATTTTAGTGTGAAATAGAAGCATTGTTTTCCATTAAAAAGAATCTTTTGCAAAGATTCGGCTTCCAACTCAATATATGTTCATCACTGTGTGTACATAATAAAAACATCATTTTCAGAGGAACATACTTATAACGTTTGTTTTAAGTAGTTTTTAAAATATAAGTGCAATTATCTTTACTACATTCCATTTGTATTCAAGAAAATATGATATGAATATGACACTTTAATTAGTTTGTGCGTCCGACGTTCCTAACGAAGAAAGTTTTGAAAATATGTCCCATACACACTGAAGTCGGTATAATTCCCAAGGGTCAGATAGTAAAGAAAATTTCTACTTTCAATGTGAGTTCAACTAGTCAAAGTAGAATGCACGACAGTACAAATATATCTAACTTAACTTATAAGTCAACTCTTCAATCTTCATTAACCTTAACAATATATCAAGATGTGGTTACTGGTTCTACTGCTTTTATATTTTTTTTAAATCAATTATTATATGCCGTTTATGGCAACCAGTTAACCCGATTTCACATCAATTTATAACGATTATACTGCTTTCCTTTTTTTGTCCCCTGAAGATCCATTAAATAAAGAGCTAACAAAAACAAAACAGAAAGACGGCAAATTTTATATAGAAATATCAATGAAGGTTTATCCCTTACCGCATTGTACCATTTTCTATGAGGTATGTATAATAGATTGTAGACAAATGTATACACTACAATGTGTTCAAATTTTATAAAAAAATGATATAGTAATATCTCTTATCATAAATGAAGATATAATCGATTGTTTTTTTAATGGACTCAGATTGTTTAGCTGTATAACTGTTTGTATTAAGAAATTATCTTTCCATCAGGTGACAAGTAGACGTAACACTGTTTTGTACTTTATCCGAATGAATATGTATATGTTTATAAACATAATTCACATATTGTTTTCCTTTATTGACGATCGCGATCTACAGATTCATGACGAACACTTGATAAATTGTGACTATATTTAACAGTGACATTATCTATGTTCTTTTTATAAGCATTATCCGCCTAAATTATAGATTTCGACTTCATTACAATAGTTCCTTAATTAAGAATTTCAATGGTTTTTTAATCAAGCAAAATGTAACTATGGTAGTGTAGATTCTTATGATGATTGAAATTCCCTTTTTCATATTATGACATTGAGTTAGAAGTAAAACCTTCAAAGTTAACTTTTTATTGCAGTAATAGTATCCATTTAGTATTATGCATTTCAATTGTAATGGCATTATTTTAGATTATAATGAAATATTTAAATTGCGTATTAAAATGCTAGTCGAGGAACTGTTTTGTTGGATCTTAAGTTGTTTGGTTATTGAAATAGTATGTCACAATACGTTGTGCTCGTAACTTTAAAATAGAAAATTAAAACGAAACGGTTTCAAGAGGGTAAAATCCACTGGTGCGTTTCTGGTTGCTGTATTCAATATTCTAGTTGGCGTTTCTATCTGAAAATTCAGGTAAGGGCACGATTGGGTAATTGCATGAAATTAAAACTACCGTGGTAAAACTAAAACCCATAATTATGCAATATCAATCGTCTTTTTGTTTACTTTATTAATATGATTTAATCTAAATACATATTGAGGTTATAATGAATTGATTTTCATGAATACAGAGTTTAATTGTTGAAGAATGATTCAAACAACAACAAATTGATAAAATACACGAATGTCAATATCTGACAAAAGTGTTGAGGTTGAAAAAATAATCTTTGAATTAAATAAAGTACGGTTAATCTTTTAAAAAATGAAAAATGATATATAACATGTAACGAAAAAATGTACATGGTAATGACGTTTTTAATATAATATAAACACAAAGAAAATTGTAAAGCATTTGTTGTTAGTATCTGTCATATTATAGGAATTGTAAAGTATTGAAAAACGATAACAAACGGGAGACCTCAGACAACAATAGAATCTATTTAAGGAATGACTGTAATATTTTTTCTGTCTATGAAGAAATAACATAAAAATGTGGTGCACACTGAATAACCAGCGTAGCGGGTTTTTTCAAAGTGTGCACCACATTTTTTATGTTTTTTTTCGAAAAGACAGAAAAAATATTTCAGTCATTCCTTATAATTTAATTCTAAATTCCATTTTAATCCGGAGTATATCATGAAAAAACGTTGATGACGTCACGGTCACATGACTAAATTATGTCTTTTAGCTGATAGATAAAACACTATCAGCCAATCAGAAGAAGCGTTACATCCATAATTAAATCATATCGATATTGATAACATATATCTTTTAAGACCAAAGGGAATTTCAAAAACTGATTTCATAGTACTAACAGTTATACCAGTAACTAATTAAAAAGTGTAACCGTAGAATACTGACGTAATTTTGTACTATGTATTTCTATTGTATATATATACTCATCATAGATACCAGGATTAAATTTTGTATTGACGCCAGACGCCCGTTTCGTCTACAAAAGACTCATCAGTGACGCTCGAATCCAAAAAAGTTAAAAAGGCCAAACAAAGTACGAAGTTGAAGAGCATTGAGCACCAAAATTCCAAAAAGTTTTGCCAAATACAGCTATGGTAATCTTTTTCTGAAGTAGAAAAGCCTAAGTATTTCAAAAATTCAAAAGTTTTGTAAACAGTTAATTAGACTATATCTGGTTTATCTAACTACAAGTCAAAATAATTGTAGTTTGCTGCTTATTTATATCCTTTTAGAAAATTGTTTTACCTGTAGACACAAAATTACTGGATGTACAAACGGAAGTTGGATTAAAATTGTATAAAATCACATTAAAATATACTTTAAACGTGGAGTACCAGAACTGTGAAGCAAATCTTAGTCTGTCATGTAAAGTTAGGTCATTTGAGTACCATCTGCTTCAACAGAGACTTGACCTATGCAAAGGTAATTTTTACAAATAAACATAATTTCAACCGTAAGAATAGCATCAACATAATATAAGAAAAAGTGAAAAAAATTATTTTAAACCTTTTATAACATTCAAAGCTGGAATTAAACAAAATAAAAATATTTCTCTGAATATTTGTACGAAATAGAAAAAAATTACTTCAAAAGTAACGAAGTGAACAAGTTGAATTTTTGTGCATGAATCGAGTTTTCATACACTCTGATACTTCAGTGCAATTTTGATTTCCAAGTGAATGCAAAAAATATTTTAACATTATATGGATATTTTATTAGATGAATTATTGCTCTTTCGGCAATTATATAGCACATCTACTTATATATGAAACTCATGCTATATATAGATCATCCAGATCATCCATATGTTCAAAGCAGCAACCATGTTGGGGCAATATTTGGAATCGTTTCCGGTGTTGTTGCAGTAATCATCGTGATATGTGTTATACGATGTAAGTTGACTATCTGTTATATTTAATCATGTGCAGTTTATGCAATTTAAGAACTTAAATAGTTCAACTAGCTGGTTCAAGAAAAAAAATCTGTTTTTGGAGTAAAATACAAGAACTACTAAAAAATCAAAAGTAACAAAACAAGTGTACAGGCAAACAAACATAAGACTTTTCCGTAACTTACATTTATGTTATGCCTGAGCACAAAATACGGAATTGCTGTTACGTGTTTACTATGATAAATTCTAGAATAATTGGCTTATTCTGTTTGATCCATTGATACAAAATATTGACATTGAAACATCAATATCTTTGAGTTTGTAACAGAATTATGACTATAAAGAGAAAATAACGCTTGCATAATATCATGTTATGAGTAGCAATGACCTCACTCAGTAAGGAGAGTCAAAGGACACAATCCTAAAACACTGAATCCGTCAAGCTGAGATTGACCCTTTTTTCCTTGTTTTTATTTTTATTATTTCTAATAAACGTTAAATAAATACTTTTTCTTTTCTTCTTTGTGTGTTTGTTTTTGTTGTTGGATACTAGTTTGATGCAAAATTTGCATCTTAGTGCCATGAGATCATTCAGATAAAGATTACATGTCATTTTTTAAACAAGGTATTCAATGATGATTTGGATATAAATTTTGTTATAGAAAGACGGTACAGTACAACTACTTCTTCAATTAGTAAATAGTATCATAAACCTATCAAATCGCAACAAAGAGAAAAACGCGACCTTGATAACCGGGATTAAAATATTTACTGAGTTTACTGTATTAATTTTAACCTTTTCATTTTTATGCATTCATATGTTTTTTTGGTTTTCATTTTTTTGCTGATTTCTTCTGATATAAATTAGAAGAAATAATTGTGGGGTTAACGTCTATGAAACACAAAGACGCACAAACCAAAAAGGACTGCATTCTATTGTTTCCAACAATAATGCAATATGTCAAGCTTTAGAAAGTCTCCAAAATTTGAAAATAACTTAAACCAAGTCCATCAACTCCTTTAATATCCTACATAAACAAAACAATTTAAATATAACGAAAGACAGCCATTGACCAGCTTACTTTTACTGATTCTTAACTGGCAAACGTAATTGTAGAGTGGATTAAAAAAACCTCTTTTGTGCAACAGAAAGTGCAATAAAACTGAGAATTGAAAAAAACATTTTCCTCTATAATACGTGCATCAGGAACGCTCAAAGCCAAATAATTGAAAGCCAATGATGTATAAGAACCAAAACAGTTAAATATATATAATATTAAGGTGGTACCTTACACTACAGGGAGATAACTCTGTAAAAATCAGCTAAACGTTTTAATAACGTTGTATTGTTAAGGAAATATTAAGCTTCTCAATGATCAAAATTAGTGTTTGCCAAACTACTATGTAACTAATGAAATTTTTCTGATAAAGTAATTGGTTCAAATTTTTTGAAATTTTTATATTTTTGTCAAAGGGTCTAAGTAAACATTTTGTCAAATTTTTATGAAAATTAAACGAGCCAAATTGATATTAGTCAAGATGTTGGATACCACCTTAATAGCTGTCCAACTGATTATATATCAATAACTCTTCAAATAATTATATATAAATATCTCTTCCAACTGTGTCGATTTTTATACATCCTTGGCTTTCCAAGATATATTATGATTTCTTAGAACAAATAACATCAAATGTGCAACTTTTACTGTACCAGATGCGTCCTTGACAGTAAATGTCTCCTTAGCCATGCTCGTGGTCAACATATTTAAAAACTGGAAATGTTTACAAACGAAGAGCTGATTAAACCAAACAGGACATATAGTATAGCCAAATTTGTTCAAGGAATCAGATCTTTGCATAAAAGATTCCTCAATTGAAATGATTACCAAAAGTTTAGTTCCACAGTAGACTTGGTACTGACAGTCCATCAGCAGCGGTGTCGACCAAATGGTAGTAATAACATAAACGGTTCAAATTTTACTGCTTCAGATTCTTATTTTGGTCATGTCTCGTCAGTAATGCTTGATGTCAAAATATTTCAAAAATGACACCTACGTTGAAAGGCTTCTAAAAAACTTTTTGGACTGTTTAGTATATTTTTTGTTTTGGGTAGGGATTTTTCTCAATTCATTTTAAAACCCTAACAAAACTTAAAATTGTTATTTTGATTATTATTTTCATTATTCTTATAGTCATTTCAATATCTTATTTCTTGCACTGCAACGAACTTGTCTTCGTAGTTCTTATAAATATCAATTGGAAAGCATTAATGCTAAAATGTTTTTGAGGCTGATCCGAAATGGCTGTGCAGATACATTTTTGTTGCACACTTGCTTCCTGGGAAAAGGTACTTTTGATGACTGTACTATAAAATCATGTATGAAAATCAAGTTTTCAATATCAACATTAAAAAATATACTATAATTAACTTAAAGATGCAGGGACTCTATGTCATACAACTTTCTTTACTCAGTACTCGGAGTACAACATTTGTGCTCGAAACACCAAATCCAGCATTTTGATAGGTTGATTTCTGAGTCTGAGTACAAAAATTATACTCCAATGTTTTATGAACGCAAGGCCTGGATTAACATTTTATTCGCCAGACTTGCGCTTCGTCTGCAAAAGACTCATCAGGGACGCTTAAATCAAACAAGTTAAAAGGGTAAAATGAAGTACGAAGTTAAAGAGCATTCAGGACCATAATTTCCGAATTATACTGTCAAATGATAGAAATATGATATCATTAACTATCCAAAATGAAAACACCACTTTATTAATTTCGTTTGTCCGAAGCACTTTTCTGGATTTACCTTCACCGGAAACGATCTTAAACACATATTTGAACGGGAAGATTGTTTTAACCTAAAAACGTCAAGACCAATATAACCAAAATGATTATTCAGATAATTTATATGTTTTACATGGAAATCACTCTAATCTATTTTGAAAATAACTTTTAAGTATCTACAAGCATCAACATCCCTATAGAATTCAATCCCTTTTCATCAGTGCAGTCATCTCAAGAAACAAACTATATATATATTTCTATTTATCAAAACAAAAAGGATGCAATATTGGTAACATATCCTCATAGACAATATACAAAATCTAAAAATCAGCAAGGCTTCGTTGAGATTTTTTGATAACCCGTTCTCAACCTCATATTTCGTTTGGAATAGTTAAAATGCAAAACCCTTCTGACCGGGAATCACCATGATCTGGGCAATTATAACCGTTCCATTGTATCAAATTAATATGTTATAGGGAGGAGAAGGAACAACAACAGATTCTTTCGACATTAACTGACAAAGAGGAAAGAAGTCGTGTTCACTCATGGAACATAGAAAAGGGAGTTCTCGCTATCACAGTTCAACATAAGTACAAAGAAATAAAAATAAAGAATTCCGCATAACAGGAGAGATTAAGAAGTAAAGCGAACATTGGTACATATTTACTAGTTAAGATCATCAGCCTTAGTAGATATTTTATCAATGAGGAAAATAAGAGAATTCTATAATCGGAAAAGTAGAGATACATTTTAAAATAACATTGGACTAGTGGTTGTATTAGTTGAGTATAGGAATACTAATAGGCACCGAATTTTTATTTTTGGAATGATAAAATCGATTCTGGTGATATATACATAATATTAATAGAATGTCAATTTGTTGAAAGTATTAGTTTGCACTCTTTTTTTGCTAATTTAGTAAATTTTCAGTTTAATGTTGTCATTTTTTAAAAATATTACCACTGAATAAGTTTATATTCTTAGTAGATTTTACAAGATGCTTTATTGCAGTGTACATACCTCTTTTTGACACAATGTTCATCTAAAATAGTTTAGTTCTGTTAAGGTAATCACTAATTCAGATACAAAACTGTTATGACGTCTGCATTTTAATGAGCATGACAAATAACAGTTTGTGAAATTTCTTTTTCAGAAAATTGCTATTGCTAAATGCGGAAAAATGAAAATAAAAAAAATAATATTATCATATGAATAAATTCTTTCAAACGAGTTGTTCCTGTGCACGGGAGCAATACAAAAACGAAAACTTATAATTGCTGTTTAGATTTTACTCAGATACAACATCTTTCGGTTTTAAACAAGACCAGGGTTCATAACAATATTGATTTCATCATCTCGCATTAATGATGCACATCAATTGAAAGTTTACAATTTGAAAATTTTAAAAAATCACTTCTGTATTAGAATTTAACTTAAGTTTTCAGTCACTTCTACTTATCATTCTTAATTCATAGACTTTACTCCAGACATGAAACAGACATATATGTGGTATCCTTTATTCCACGTTTACAGGGATTGTTGCAATAAACTAAGTCAACAATGGTTGAACTATTCAGTGAGAGGGAACACTGTATATAACGGAATATAAAGTTGAACAATAAGAATACATGTAATGCGAAATTGTTTTCATTTTTTCTAGAAGTTCATGTAAAGTATCTGTCCAATACAAACAAACAAAAATCAACAAGTAGAAGAGCACAGCAGGGTCTTGTTAAAGTCCACTGACTGTTGAAGTAGTGTCATTATGTTCAATGTGTCAGTTTCAGAGTTTTTTGGATTTTTAGAGAGAATGTTGTGTACTTTTCTAAAACATGACATTGTTCTCTTCATATACAATTGTTTTGGGTTTTTTTAACTGTTAAAGGTTAACTATTTTTTTCGTATGTCTTACAGTTATAAATGAGGAAAACTTGTGTAAAAGGTAGATTAATTAGAGACTACAACATGTATAAAATTGAGAATGGAAATGGGGAATGTGTCAAAGAGACAACAACCCGACCACAGAACAGACAACAGCAGAAGGCCACCAACAGGTCTTCAATGCAGCGAGAAATTCCCGCACCCGGAGGCGTCCTTCAGCTGGCCCCTAAACAAATATATATACTAGTTCAGTGATAATGAACGCCATACTAAACTCCAAATTGTACACAAGAAACTAAAATTAAAAATAATACAAGACTAACAAAGGCTAGAGGCTCCTGACTTGGGACAGGCGCAAAAATGCGGCGGGGTTAAACATGTTTATGAGATCTCAACCCTCCCCCTATACCTCTAGCCAATGTAGAAAAGTAAACGCATAACAATACGCACATTAAAATTCAGTTCAAGAGAAGTCCGAGTCTGATGTCAGAAGATGTAACCAAAGAAAATAAACAAAATGACAATAATACATAAATAACAACAGACTACTAGCAGTTAACTGACATGCCAGCTCCAGACTTCAATTAAACTGATTGAAAGATTATGTCTTCATCATATGAATATCAGGCACAATCCTTCCCGTTAGGGGTTTAGTATCATACCATCATAACATATATGAGAAGAACATAACCCGTGTCATGCCAACAACTGGTTTTTAAATAAATGTGTTTAGTGCCGATGCAAAGACCCTATAAGTGAATCAATATTAACGCCAAAATATGCAATCTTTAATGACCTGACAACAGTATCGTAACTATATCCCTTCTTAATAAGTCTATTTAAAGGTTTTGTTAGTTTCAGAGGTGAATACTGACATTTTGCATATATGCGACTGCCATACAAGTGAGAGGTTTCTCTAGCTATAAAACCAGGTTTAATACATCATTTCCAGCAAAAGGAAATGCCTGTACCAAGTCATGAGTATGACAGTTGTTTCCATTCGTTTGATGTCTTTGAGCTTTTGATTTTACAATTTGATATTTTTGTTATATTACTTTTTATGTACAAATCATGGCTAAAGTAAAGACTGTGAGAATAACATGCACTCTAAAGGCGGGAGACAGATTTCGTCGCTAGGGTAAGGGTCTCCTTCTATGCAAGGCTGTATTTTGCTCTTTAGTCGGATTGTTGTCGCTTTAACACATTCCTTGTTTCCTTTTTGTCTTCTAAGACAAATCAACAGCATGTTTTATACAATACTAGTAGTGAGTCAAGAGGAAACTGTGTATACGGTAACATATCTTTAGAATATTATGGTATTCACATTCGATTCACACCACAACTGGAGTTTGAGAAATTTTTAAGGTAACATTTGAAAAGTCAACGATCGTGCAATCTTCTGCATCAATTGGTTGTTGGTCTTGATATGTTATTTAGGTTAATTGTGGAATTGGGCTTCGAAATGATTCATGGATATGGTGTTTCAACCAACACAAAGATCAATCTACGATCATTACTGTTTCACTCATTTCAATGACAAATATTATGTTCAGATTTATGGTTCTAAAACCTTGTTATTTATTTTCTCTAATAAAACTGTAATACATAGAAAATCGACGAATATAAGAAGGGCCGTAAAGTAATCACAGATACCAGGCTTATAATTTGGTATGCAAGATGTGTACGTCTAAGGCAATATATGGCTGATTGCAAAAAAAACATAGTATTTCGAAAAGATAAATTTTCAATATAAATAATAAATTTAGAGAAAATTAAAAACCAATTGGTCAGAGAAAAATTGAAGGTCTTTCCACATTAATTTTCAAATTTATTGAATAGAAGCTAGTTCTTGTTTACTCAAAGTTTAAATTGGCATCTTATCAGTTTCTTCATACTGATGCGATAAATAAGAGGTTTCTATATACTTCTGAGTGAAATAAGGGAAATAATTCTCTCGGTGAAGTAAATGTCTATTCTGGTCTCATACGATAGTTTCTTTCACACTGATTCCAAAAATATAGTTTCTATATACTTTTGCCTGTAAACCAGGAGATAATTGGCCACTTCCGGTATATCGAAAGTCATTTCTAGTCTTTAGTGATAAGTTTATGTATTTATATTACAAAATATATGGATTCTTTTCCATGAAAAAAGTGCAAAAATGGCTACTTTCACTTTTCTCAAGGTCACTTCCGGTTGTCATTTTTCAAGGTCATATGTCACCCAACCTTTTATAAAAGGTCATATGGCTTTATAATGAACCAAGTTGAAGTAAAGATCAATTAACCTTATAATTAGACATTTCAGGGGCACTATCTCCTATAAGATGTCATTAGATTGTTTCAGACCAAATATAACATATCTTCATTACAATAAAGCAAACAGTTTGCACTTGTTCTTTTAAATATATCTTTAAAAGTGTTGGAGAAAATGCAAAAACAAGGAAAAGTCAAAATTTAGAACTTGACCTTGACCTTTGACCTTGACTTCATTTTCTAAGTTAGGACCTAGGAGCTCAAATAAAATTATTCAAGGGTTATACGGTTAAAAGTTTATGAGTTAAAAAAACATACCGACAAATTTTTTTTGGTAAAGGTAGATAACTCCTAAAAAATTTCATCGAATCGCTTCGATCCAAATTAGGAAAAAATTCCTGAGGATGTAACGAACAATTTAGAAAAAAATATTTTGTCAATATCTTTATTTGTTACGAAGGAGATGCAATCACATGATAAACAGTGAATAGGGAGATAACTCTTACAAAGAAAATTGTTTGGCTTAGCAGGGTGAATTTTAAAAGCGCATAAACTATACGATACAATACGAGAAATATCTAAACGACATATTGCGAAACAAAAATTTATCGCAAGAACAAAATTTGGCGGAAGAAAAAAAAAATTAAAAACCAATTGTTCAGAGAACAATTGAAGGTCTTTCCACATCAATTTTCAAAGTTATTGAAAATAAGCTAGTTCCGGTTTACTCAAAGTTAAAATTGGTATCCAATCATAAGTTTTTTCAAACTGATGCGATAAATGAATGGTTTCTATATACTTTTGAGTGAAATAAGGGAGATAATGTGCTACTATCGGTGAAATTAACGTCACTTCCGGTTTCATTTGATAGCTTCTTTTACACTGATTCCAAAAATATATAGTTTCTATATACTTTTGCGTGTAAAACAGGAGATAATTGGCCACTTCGGGTTTATCGAAAGTCACTTCTGGTCTTTAGTGATAAGTTAATGACTTCATTTTCTAAGTTAGGGCCTCAAATAAAAAGATTCCAGGGTTATACGGTTAAAGGTTTATGAGTTAAAAAAACATACCAACAATTTTTTTTCGTAAAGGTGGATAACTTCTATAAATTTTCATCGAATCGGTTCGATCCAAATTAGCCAAAAATTCCTAAGGATGTAACGAACAATTTAGAAAAAGAATTTTGTCGATATCTTTTTTTGTTAAGAAGGAGATGCACACACTTGATAAACAGTGAATAGGGAGATAACTCTTACAAAGATAATTGTTTGGCTTAGCAGGTGAAATTTAAAAGCGCATACACTGTACGATACAATGTAAGAAATATTTAAGCGACATATTGCGAAACAAATATTTATCGCAATAACAAAATTTGGCGGAAGAAAAAAAAAATAATAATTAAATACCAATTGTTCAGAGAACAATTGAAAGTCTTTCCACATCAATTTTCAAAGTTATTGAAAAGAAGCTAGTTCAAAATTGGCATCCAATCATAAGTTTCTTCATACTGATATGAGAAATAAGTGGTTTCTTTTTACTTTTGAGTGAAATAAGGTAGATAATGTGCTACTTCCACTGAAGTAAATGTCACTTCCGGTCTCATATGATAGCTTCTTTCACACTGATTCCAAAAATATATAGTTTCTATATACTTTGCCTGTAAACCAGGAGATAATTGGCCACTTCCGGTTTATCGAAAGTCACTTCTAGTCTTAAGTGATAATTTAATGTATCTAAATTACAAAATATATGGATTCCTATTAATTATGCATGAAAAAAGTGCAAAAAAGGCTACTTCCGGTTTTCTAAAGGTCACTTCCGGTTGACATTT